GTTGTCAGCAGATCTGTTTCAAGAATTATTTATCGAATTGAATGGCACTTCGTTCATGAAGGAATATAATGATTTAAAAGTATTAGAAAAAATTTTTTTTGAATGAATTATCTTTGTCCTGTATTTATCGATTTTATAAAAGTTTGAACTTATCTATAAAATATTTCTACAAATATTGTTTGCAGTACCATAGTACGATTGTTAATAAAAATTTGTATTTTCCTCCGTTCCGATTGCCGGTGAACTTGCAAATCAACCACTCTTTCGTTAATTTCAACGATCCTTTGATATCATTTAGAAATCGATATCCCGAACGACCCTTTCTTCGACGAATAAACAAAGTCTAACCTACCCGTTAGAAATCATCGATTTGGGAGTAGTCAGTCTACAGTTTCATCCACTTTGTCTTCGTTGTCATACATAATGACAAAAGTTGCTAAGACCTGAAATAGCCGTCACAAATAAGGACAACTTCTTTTTTTTAACGTGAAGGAAATCTTCGAAGGACTAAAACCTCCATGACTAAAACCACCACGATGGCTTGCCTCCTATTCTTAGGGGAAGCTCCGGGTCCGTGTTATTCACGGGGCTACCTGGACAATTGCCTGTTCAGGCTTCTTTTTGGACAGCATGTTGTTCGCCCTCTACTCCGTCCCACTGTTTTTGGCGGCCGGTGACCATAACCGAAGCCGCTTTTATCCAGGGTCTAGTTTGGGAAGCCCGGGCTTTCCCATAGGCCCTTTAGATTTTCACGCGGGTACCGCTGGCCCTGCACCCTCTTCTGGGCAACTCCTCGTCCTTTGTATGTCGATGCACTCGTCAACAGTTCTTCCTTTTTGGGAAAGTTTCCTTTCGAAGATTGGTGTTTATCTCCCTCCGGCGCTCATCCATTATAGCTGCGGCGATTCATGGGCGAAGCATCCATGTCCGGTGAGCACATTCGTGATTCTGAATGTGAGTCCCTGCGGCGCAGGATTTTGTTGCCGCTGTGAGGTTTTCTGACCAGATCGGTGCCCCGTATATAATCATCGAACTTACAACGCCGGTGTAGAAACGTCTGAGTTTCTCCTGTGGGCCTCCGATGTTAGGGAAGAGGCGGTCCACGAATGCGGCCACTGTCCGTCACGGGAAGTGACTGTCCTAGGCCGGAGTTTGTCCAAGGTAGGATCGCAATCGAGAGTACCGAGATGCTCGTCGAGATGCGCGCTCCTTTGCTTCCTTGATTCAGAGTTATAGGATCGCAATGACCTTCTTGTATTGCCGGTACAGATGTTCTTTCTTCGTGCGCGCTGAGAGCGTCGACGCATTCGCAGGCAAGTGGTGCGCTTTGCCTCGATCTCAGAAGACCACCAGTATGTGAAGTTCCTGGGACATGGTCAGGCACGAGGCATGGTGATGTCGCTTTCATTGACCAACGAAACTATTCGGCCTCCTTTTTGACCTTCGACACGGGACCGGGTGGTGGCTCCGGCCATGCTGCAATGTGTGCAGCGGCTGCTAACATGTCAGCGTCTAGCTTCTTCATTGCTCATCTTGTTTGTGGGGACTGCCTACGCTCCTCTTGCACCTCTGGTCTAGTTCACCGGTGGCGGCTTCCGTTCATTGTTTGCTATGAGAAGGGGGAGGGGGGGGGT